AAGGAAGGAAGGAAGGAAGGAAGGAAGGAAGGAAGGAAGGAAGGAAGGAAGGAAGGAAGGAAGATGGGGATGGGATGGTAGTACACACAACAATACCAGCACTTGGAAGGTGGGGGCAGAAGGTCAAGAGCTCAAGGTCATCCTTAGATCCATAGCAAGTTTAAGGCCAGCCAAAAGCTACATGAGACCCTATCTACTAACAAAACAAAACAAAACAAAGACTGTTTGATTCATGATTCTTGGTTCCCCAAAACCAGAAAGAGCCAAATCAGCAAGATAGATTTTCATTTACTAGAATACAGTGAAGAGGAACAAACCACTGCACACCTCAAGCACAATGTCAAGCAAAAAAGCCAGACCAAACAAATGGACATTATATGCTTTCCTTTAGAGAAACCTTAGAACAAGGCAAACTTAGCCTGCAGTGTTGAGATCAAGCCTGGGCTAATCTAGGGGGGAGGGGGGGGTGGGGAGGAAGCAGGTGTGCAGGACTTCTAGTGTGATAGCACATACCACTTCTTAACATGGGCGGCTGCTCCAGCAGCTGTGTCCAGTTGGGAAAAACTCAACCTGTACATGTACGGTTGATGTGCTTTTTTGTATGTGTGCTGTGGAGCTTTAAATGAGAATGGCCCCATAGGCTCATATATTTGAATGTTTGTTTCCTAGCTGGTGGACTGTTTAGGAAGGATTAGGTGTGGCCCTTGTTGGAGAAGGTGTGTCACTGAAGGCAGGCTTCAAGGTTTCAGAAGCCCACACCAGGCCTCTCTCTCTCTCTCTCTCTCTCTCTCTCTCTCTCTCTCTCTCTCCAGCTTGTGAATCATATGTGAGACATCATGGATCGGCCTTTTGAAACGGTAAGCAAGCCCCCGGTTGAACGCTTTCTTTAAAAGTTGTCATGGTCATGGTGTCTCCTCACAGCTATAGAACAGTAACTAAGACATATGCCATACTTAAGTCTATTGTAAAAACACACTAACTAACAGGCAAAAGGAGAGTTTATAAATGTTATAACAGGCAAAAGGAGACTGCAGTGATGGCCACACAATACTCAACTCACTGAACTCTTCGATTACAATAAGGGGATTCCATGGATGTAAAACTATACCTTAACAAAGCCTTTTAGAACCCTGTGTGTGTTTACATAGTAGTAGGTAACTGGGATACAAATTCAGTAAAGACAGTCCTCGGGGGCCTGAGGCAAGAGGATTACCAAAGATACAAGGTCATTCTGGGCTATGTAGTTATGGATCTAGCTCCTAAAATCCAAAAGGAACTCAAAGAACCTCTGTTAAATGGGGACAAAATTGGCTATCACCCAAACTTAACTAGTGAGCCTTTGCTGTGTAGTCTTCTGGAGAGCTTTAGCAGCAGCTGCACAACAGGAAGAAAGCCCTTTTTGTATTTAGGAACACACACACACACACACACACACACACACACACACACGCACGCACGCACGCACGCACGCACGCGCACGCACGCACGCACGCACGCACGCACCCCACAACCACAACAATTAATGGGGGGTATCTAGAATTTGAAAGAGAACAAGGAAGGGTACAGAGGAGGGTTTGGAGGAAAGAAAAGGAAGGGGGAAATGATGTAATTATATTATAATCTCAAAAACAGGGAAGCAATATTTTTAAAGGCCCTAACCTCAGACTGTTCCTCTACCCCACTTGTCTAGCAGAACAGTGGTAAAGACGGGGCTCTAGAATCCAATCCTGGCCCACACAGACTGTTTGTCCCTGAGCACCTTGTCCTCTGTGCCTCAGTCTCTTTCTCTATAAACTGGAGATGCTATGCCACCACAGCAAGAGCTACAACCCTGGGTTCTTAGAAGGCCTGAACGCACGCATCTTCCTGTAGTAAAGACTACTCTAAGTGTTGGGGGGGGGGGGTTTCTAACGAAGGACGCCCTCGTTTAGGAAAGGAAGGCTGGTTTGGGTGCTTTACCTGATGAAATGTGTACTTGAAGAGAAGGGTCAGGAACTCTACCACAGGGAACTGAGAGTAGGACTCGATTCTTCTCAGGTGAACACTCACAAAGAGCCGCAGAAAGTCGGTAAACTTCTCAATGTAGCTGCACAAGACAAGAAGACAAAGGATGACATAAGAAACCTAGCCACCAGTTTCTTAGAAGAAAACTTAACCAAACACTCTCTCAGTTCAGAACTCTACAAACACACATTTCCAGTTAAGAACACCAAGGCCTGCACTAGTTACCCACGACACAGGCAACCCCTCATTCCACTATCACCGAAACACAGCAGAGAAGCAGCTTTCCTCCTCAGACTCTACCCGCCCTGCTGCTACAAACTCAAGCTCACCTGTGTGCCAACGCACTGGTGTGAGCACCCAATTAAAGGAAAGAGGCTGCTGCTAACAGGGGCTGGGGAGGTGACGGTGAATTCACGTCTGGCAAATTTAGAAAGGCAGGTCTTGGCTGGGACTGACATTAAGTTGAAATGCACCAGGCAGAGACAGAGACGAAGTCTATCCAGAGGGGACAACGTCTAGGTCACAATCCTATTTCTGTCCTCCCCCCTGACACCCAGCACTAATGAAGGACTGCACATCTACTCCATTCTGAAATCGACTTTCAAATATAAGGGAGGAAGACTGTAGGAGCTAGACAAGCCTCTATAGATGAGGCTCCAGAAGGTAGTGACCCACCAAGGTCATTCAGCCAGCTCCCAGCAGAGGGCGCTATCACTCACTCTCAGTGCGGTGCCCTTTCTGTTCACTTTGTAGTAGTTGGCCCATAATCCCCAAGCCACTTCACAGCAGTGAGTCAGTTACAAAGGTAAGAGGTTTCTGTTCTTAAACACACAGTACATTATTACTTTCACATTTCAGAAACTGGCATTTTAAGCCCCTCAATATCAGAAAGTGAATAGAAATCAAGATGGACATACCTTCCTAAATCCCATTTCAGAGACCAACAAAAGTAGCTAGGCATACTAGGCTTTGGCTGAATATTAAGTAATGTCTAAAAGCAACACTGAAATCATTAACTGCCAAAAACAGAGCTACATGAAATCATAAAAAGGAAAAAGATAAGCACCCTTAGAAGAACCACACTGGCTCAAACTCCAGTGTCTTCTGCTCCCTCAGGGAGGCCAACGCCTGCGTGGCCTCTAGATGGTTGACTAATACAGTAAGACATTAAAATCAATCCATTGGGGTTTGTTTTTGTTTTTCTGAGACAGGGTCCTGCTATGCAGCTCTAGGTGTCCTGGAACTTACTATGTAGACCAGGCTGGCCTCAACTTTTCGGTGATCCTCATGCCTGACTCTCCTTCCTCTTCCTCCCCTGGGGGTTACAAACATGAGCCACAGGCCCAGGATTAAAACTGGTTGTTCTGAGAAAGCAAAGTACAAAGCACCTTCTTTCTGCCATCTCCAGGGACTCCTTGGGGACACCAAGTCCTCATTTCTTACTCAGCATATGTACTGCTCCATGGTTATACATGGATCTTCAGAGGTAGCAGCCTTAAGGGAGATACACTTGTTACCCATAAAAGAAAAGTCTCAAGTCTATTTTAATCTTCAACCCAAACTGAAAAATGCAAGCTAGGTATGGGGACTCATGCTGTTAATCCTAGAAACTCAGTAAAGCTAGGAGAGGGACGCCACAAGTTCAATGCCAGGTTGAGCTACACAGCAAATCCCAGGCCAACCAGAGTACTGAGACCCTGTCCAGAGAGGAAGGAGGGGTACCCAAATGAGAACAAGGCTTTTCGCTCAGCTGACACTAGAGATGTGCCTGCCTCTCATCTTCCCCTTGCCCATCTGCCTGGTACAGATGCTAACGAACAGTAAAAGTTAGAAAAGGAAAGAAGGAAGAGAAGCCAAGGGCCTGGTTAAGCGGCTCCTAAACAACTGACACGCACTAAATGGCTTATAATTAGTCAGGGATCAAGAGCTGGGAAGCAAGCACACACTGTTTCTGTCACCTTTCTGCTTCCAGGCACCTCTCAGCTCTCACTTCGGATCCAGGACAAGTCAAAACAACACAGTTGATATAGGCAGTTACATACACTTTTATTAACATATGAAGACAAGACGGCCTTTCTTTATCAATGCTAGAAAGGATATGAAACTGTGTGAATTGTGAGGCATTTAAATTCATGTAGGAAGGTACTACTAAATAATGAGGGGAAATGCTACTGGGGGAGGAGAGGCGGCTCAGGTAAAGGCACTTACTGCCAAAGCTGAAGATCCAAGCTTGATCCCAGGGACTCACACGGTAGAAAAGAAAACCAATTCCAGCAATTCTGACCTCTACACACAACATAGCATGTGCCCCCACCCAACCACAAAATAAATAAAGGTAACCAAAAAAAAATTTTATTAGGAAAAGATCCTGTTGGATTATGAGTACTTTGTGACTATAAAAGGCAAATGTCACACAAAGTTTATTTACAATGAACCAAACCAAACTAACCTTCACTCAATTTTTAACCAGACAAACTTAAAGCTCCCCACTTTAAAAGAACGATCCTGACTTGGGGCAGCTGACTTTAGAGCCTACCACACTTCCTCTAACAAAGCAAAGAGCTTCAACTCTGTTATCACTTACTAACAACCACGTTGGAAACGACTACAATGTTAACAGCCTTTTCACAAGGAAGTCTCTAATGACTATGTAATGTCTAATGTAATACACTGACTCTGCTCTGAAGCTTCAACAGCCCATGTGATTGTTACAACTGCATGCTGCCCGCTGCCCTTCACCTTTACATAGCAGTAGGAGTACCGTGTTTAGCAAAGAAGATGCTGAGCTGAGGCTGTGGCCAGTGGCAGGATGACTTGTCTGGCAGGCACAAGGTCCTAGGCCCCGACCTAGCACCACTGGGGTGGAGGGGACTCAGCCTACTTCACTGAGGTCATCTTATTTGTACTCAAGAAAAATAGGCCTGGGGAATTTTAGGTCAAGAGGAGAGTAGCCAAGCAATGCAAGTATGTGCCACTGAACCATACCTACCTGAACA